GTAGCAACTCCATCCACATCCCCCTTTGCCATTTCCACTTCTTGGGCTGAAGAAACAATCACTAGTACAAATGAGCACATAAGCTAGATTAGGTTATGAATGTGTATTGTATTCAATACCAAAGTCTGAAGACATAAATATAAAGACACAAGATAGAGTCCTAGTCAAACTCAAGTAATATAGTCTTAATACTCCCCCTCAAGCACAAGGTTGGCTAGCCAAAACATTGAGATTGTCACGGAAAAATTTAAACATAAAGACGAAAGAGACTTAGTAAAAATGTCTGCTAGCTGATCTTTAGTTGATATAAAATGAACCTGCAACTCCTTCTTGACCACCTTATCACGGACGAAGTGATAATCAATCTCAATATGCTTCGTGCGAGCGTGAAAAACTGGATTAGCACATAAATAAGTGGCCCCCAAATTGTCACACCATAATTTAGGCAGTGAGACAGGAGGAAAACCGATCTCCCTCATTAAAGAAACAAGTCAAGTTACTTCTGCGGATATATCAGCCAATGCCTTGTATTTGGCTTCAGTCGAGGAACGAGCCACAATTTGCTGCTTCTGGCACACCCAAGAAATAAGATTACCACCCAAGAACACAGCAAAACCACTTGTTGAATTCCGATCATCCCGATTACCGGCCCAATCTGAATCAGAATAAGAATGAATATAAACGGAAACATAGCGAGATATGTGAAGACCAAGATGCAAAGTCCCATTAACATACCTCAAAACCCTCTTGAGAGCGGCCTAGTCTGCATTAGTGAGTGCATGCATAAGATAAGTCTTGACGGGTGACTGTAAGATATTGAAGAGCACCTGCCAGACTCCGATATTGAGTGGGATCAACATAAGGAACCAGAGGATCGTCTGTAACCTTAGCTAGCCAGACTGGTGTGGCCACATGCTTGCAATCAACCATACCAGCTCGTTTGAGAAAATCCTTCATGTAGAGCTATTGAGACAGAAGCATTCTACCAGGCAATGAAACGGTCTCTATGCCGAGGAAGAATGATGGCACTCTCATATCACGAACTTTAAATTCCAAGGATAATTTATTAACAAGTCCAGCAACACAATCTGAATCAGATCCCATGACTAAAATGTTGTCCACATAAACCAAAAAATAGAGCTGAACAGTATCACGCGAATAGATAAAGAGAGAAACATCAATTTTATAGGGTGAGAAACCAACCGAAACAAGAAAATAATGCAAGCGTGTAAACCAGGCACGGGGCGCCTGTTTAAGCCCATAAAGAGACCGCTGGAGCAAACAAACATGACCAGGCAATGTCTTGTCCTCATAACCGGGTGGTTGGCACATATAAACAGTCTCAGCCAGATTACCATTCAAAAAGGCATTATGAATGTCCAACTGGCGAATGGTCCAACCACGAGATATAGCCAAGGATAAAAGAAGACGAACCGTAGTCGGCTTGACCACGGGACTAAAAGTCTCAAAGAAATCTTCCTAGCAACCTGAGTAAAGCCTTTCGCAACCAGCCGAGCTTTATGCCGCTCAATCGAACCATTAGCTTTCCTATTGGTTCGAAAAACCCACTTGCAGCCTACAACATTCATACATGTTTTAAACGAAACAAACCGCCACGTATTATTTTGAACCAAGGCATTAAATTCCAAATCCATCGCTTCGCGCCACTCAGAAAATTTGACTGTTGACTGCCCAGCTGCGCTATCAGCCGGACGAACCACATCCGGAACCACTGAAACCGACGCAACAACCCACGGGTCAACTCGCGATGAAACAACCTGCGATGCAACAGAAGAAACAAAGGGAAAAACAGCTTCATCGAATCGCACATGGCAACAGATAAAAACCTTGATAGTGTTAGTATCCAGACAACGATAGCCACGAAAAGAATCAGGATACCCCAGAAAGACACATGGAGAAAAACGAAATTGTAACTTGTTACGATTATAAGGACGCAGCACATGGAAACATAAACACCCAAGCACTCGTAAGAAAGAATAGGACAGGGGAGAACAATGCAACCGGGAATGAGGAGACTCATCAGACAAAACACGAGTAGGCATTTTGTTAATTAGATAAACAACAGTCTCAAACGCGTAGTCCCAAAAACGATATGGAACAAACGCCTGAGCCATTAATGCCAAACCCATCTCAACTACATGTCGATGCCTGCGTTCTACCTGACCATTTTGTTCGTGAGTATACGCACAAGACTGACTGTGACGAATACCCAGCGAAGCCAGTGTAGAACCAAACTTTTTATACTCTCCCCCTAAATCAGGCAGAAAAGAAATAATCTTGCGAGAAATGGAACGCTCAAAACCGATCAAAGATAGCATACAATTCAGACTTAGCATGCATAGGAAAAAACCACATATAACATTTATAATCATCCACAAATAAAACAAAATATTTATATCCATTTGCAGAAATTAACGGCATAGGGCCCCAAATATCTTAATAAATTAATTCCAAAGGTTGCGTACTAGTAGTTTCAACACGAAATAAAGAAAAACGAGATGACTTTTCCAATTGACAAGACGAACAAATATTGGGAAGATCAGTAGAATTAAAAGTACTAATAGGCGAAGACCCTAAAATTTGACGCAAGACTCTTGAGTGAGGATGACCAAGCCGCATATGCCAAACAAAGGACGACGAACATGCGGCAACAAACGCAGCAGGAGATGGACGCGAAGCAGGCCAGGCATAAAGACCCCAGACGCAGACCCCTTAAAAAGAACCTTCCTGGTCATAATGTCCTTCACATAGAAACACAAAGGGTGAAATTCAAAGAAAACGTTATCATCCTTAGCAAAACGTTGAACTGACAACAACGAAGAAGAAAGACCAGGGACATGCAAGCCATCACACATTCTAAAAGACCTAGAGGCAGTAGCTATTGAAGCGGAACCAACATTAACAATAGGCAATCTTTTACCACTGCCGACTCGTAGAGTCTCCGGGCCATCATAATTGGTCGTGGAAGTCATCACAAACAAATCAGGTGTAGCATGATTCGTAGCACCAGTGTCAGGGAACCACTGATGAGGACCACCCAGATTAATATCATCACTAGAAAAAGCCAGATTCGCCTGAGGAGCCGGGGAGGCTGAAAACCAGTGATAAAACGAGTGAGCGATGTGATCATGTTTATTACAAATCTGACACCGCGGCCCGAAATTAGAGCGCCCACGAGCACGCCCTTTATTCCATCTGTCGCGACCACCGCCATCGCGTTGCTGCGAACCACCCCCACGCCCACCACGACCACCAAGGCTCGCGGTCATAACAGCCGGCGCACCAAGACAGACACCATCGTCCGCACAGATCCATTCTTGCGACATCAAGAACTTCGTCACCTCAATCAATGGAACCGGAGCGCCTCGCTTCAAGGACGCAACCAACGGCCAGAACTCAGACCGCAAGCCATGAAAGACATACAAATTTTGATCATCCAAGGTAACCTGTCGTCCGAAAAAGGCCGAATCATCCACTAACATTTGCGCATGGCCGAGGTAGTCTGATATGGAAGAATCACCTTGACTTAAGCCCTGCAACTCACCAAGCAGTCGCAACGCGCGAGCCCTTGTCGAAGAACCAATAGCCTGCTCGATGGCGAGCCATAGTTGACGCGAAGAAGTCCGGCCTACAGCAAGATGCATAGTTTCTTCCGAAAGTGACTATATAAGAAGCGACAAGATGGCCTTGTCTTGGCGCCTCCATTGCTGCTGCTGCGACTAAAGATCCAAAGCAGCCGCCTCACCACCTTTCGCGGTCGAAGCAACCGCTGGGGAGAGAGATAGACACTGCAGTGTGTCATCGACATAACCAAGAAGACCTTGGCTTTCCAAGAAAGGCAACATCTGGGTTCTCCAAAACAAAAAATTGCGGATACAAAGTGATGAGCCGATAAAAGACTATTTCCGGTAGGAACAGGAGGAGCCTCACTAACGGTCCGTTCAGATGAGTCACGAAAAGAGCTGTCATCATTAACACCGAGGGCTGCCATGAGAGAAAACCTGAAAAATTATACCATATGGGGATATGAATGTGTATTGTATTCAATACCAAAGTCTGAAGACATAAATATAAAGACACAAGAGAGAGTCCTAGTCTAACTCAAGTAATACAGTCCTAACAAGTTATACCTGTATAAGTGTTTCCGCTACACTTGTACAGGTGTAGCAGATGAGTGTGACTGGAAAAGTGTAACCTTTTCGCGACACCCTTATAGAATGTCGCGGAAAGCATACGAATTTTTTTTAATAAACACTTTCCGCAACACTCTTTCGGAAACCATTTTTTTTAAATGATGACTTTTCGCGACACCCTCTTCAAAGAGGGTGTCGCGGAAACCCTTTTTTTTTTTTTTTTTTAATAATGACATTCCGAGACACCCTCCCCACAGAGGGTTTCGCGGAAACAATTATTTATAAAAAATTATTTAAACTTTAAAAACTACGTAATTTTATTTATTCAAAACCTGTACAGAATTTTTCAAAATCAACAAAACAACATAAAAATTTACAAAACTAATAACAACAAATTAAACTATCTATTCATAATGATTTTCAAACCAACACTAATAACTATCAAGACAAACATAATCACAATATAGTTTGCAAACTATATACTTCACAATTAATAATAAACACAATAGATCAGCACAATATATTTATACTATCAACAGAATAATAACAATCAACACATTTAAAATTGAAATCAAGATATACAATTTGTTAACAAAACATTATATCAATTAATAATAAAGATAATGTTTGATTTTCAAACCAACACTAATAACTATCAAGACAAACATAATCACAATATAGTTTGCAAACTATATACTTCACAATTAATAATAAACACAATAGATCAGCACAATATATTTATACTATCAACAGAATAATAACAATCAACACATTTAAAATTGAAATCAAGATATACAATTTGTTAACAAAACATTATATCAATTAATAATAAAGATAATGTTTAAGCCAAATAAAGTTAAACGCACTATTCTAAAAAGTATTTTGCCCACAACTATCGAACTTATCTATTTTGTTCATGGAGAACACTGCTTATTCAAATGCCTACAATTTTTTTTAATTAATCAAATTAGTAAACACATTAATTGATAAATTATAATTTAACTATACAAATAGTTCTATTTAAATTACTTAGCCCATCTAAACAATCAACCAATCAATGATTAGTAACAGTGTCGTACATGTATCACAGTACATAGTATCCACATTCAACGCCTCCCGATTGTTGTGGACACTACAAAATACACGCGTGCACACACATATATATGTATGTTTGTATGTGTGTGTGTATATAAATTCATGTTAATATCATAATAAAACAATAAATAAAAACTAAGGTTAATATCATATTAAAACTTTAATTTTAATTTCATACTTTGCATTCCTTCCAATCAATAATTATAGTTCATCGTCCATTTGCAAGAACAGATCATAACGCCCGATACTAATAATAAAAATTTATATCAATATATAAATAACATAATAAAATTTAAAATACATATATTAATAATAAGATTTTTACTTACATATTCACAAAAGCTTTGACATCAAGGGTGCGTTCACATTTCAAAGGATCAAATACATACACCAATTTTTAACATGTGGGCAAATCATGATCAGTAAAGTAAAAGACTTACTGTTGATGATACAGTGCTAATATGAATTGCTGATCCTTGTGTTCGTTCATGACATGAATGAGATATGATGTAACAACATGACACTTTATGTTAATCATATTTGCTGAAATTTGTGTTGGACACGCAAACCCGATTGATGTCACTCCAAATTGTTTACACAACTTATTCAAATAACAAATAAGAAATAAGATTTGGAAGAAGGCATTGGTTGCCTTTTTTCCAGATTTGGAAGAAGGTTGTTGCCTTATTCTAGATTTGAAAGTAGGCCGTCGTTGTAACACCCCCCCCCCCCCCCCCACCCCCAAACACGACCTATATAAAAAGGCCTTAACACCTGCAGATCATACAACAAAAACTAGCACAACGGAAGATAAAACGATAACTGGATAAAAGAAATCCAAACGGAGTGTTATGCCACGTCTACCAAACACGGTAAACGCTACGACGGTCAATCTGCAAAGTGTATACATCTATCCCAAAAGACATCAGTCTAAAACTACAACGGCACACAGGCCACAAAACAAAGGTAAAGGCACTAGACTACCGGTCACTAAACATCGCGCTCGTCTAGACATCACCTGAAAGACACAAAGATAAACATTGGGACGACGCCCGGTCAGCGATATTGCTGGTAACCCACCAATACCTGTTAAGTATCATACATAGGTAGGATATATATACAAAAATCATTTCGAAACGGAATACATATATATATATATATATATATATATATATATATATATATATATATATATATATATATATATATATATATATATATGCATAAAACCAAGAGTAAACACCAACTCAAGACTCATCACTCATCAACAAACAACACGGGAACACATCCCAAGACCACAACGGATAACAACAACACAAGGATAAAGACACGACACACGGAAACACATGCCTAGGCAACACATGCCTTTGTGACTACACACGTCACAAGAGAGAACACACAACCACGGCTACACAAGCCCTCATGACATCACACATCACGAGTTGAAATGCCTTCCTTATGCCCTGTTCCAACCTTATGGCTACCCCCAACCTTATATCTAGTTCCAACCTTTACCTCTAGGACCCCTGTACACCAGTCCAACCTTATTCCCCCGAGGACCGTCGTCCCCTCTCCAACAGATCTCCAACAAAACCACCGATTTCATAGTACACGAGGTACCGTACACACACATGGCGACACACGCCTTCCCAAGAAATACGTGAACCTGACACACAGGTCACAACTCCATATTCACGTCACGGCCACCACGAGGACCGCTACAATACCTTGGTGACTAGTGTCCCATACCACTAATCGTGCAATCCAGGTAAAGCCACACACACCACACCTCAACAGGAATCAATTAACGGATTACAACGAAGGTATGAAACATACTCAATCAAGGAATGGGTCACAGCCCACAACAAAAACGATGAATAACACAAGTTATCATCAATCAATCGGAAGGTACAAACAACACACACGCTAGCATTTAGACACAAACTAGCATGCTTGTCAACGGAAAAACTCAAGATAGTTCCGAGGAACTCACAAGACACTTCACGGTTCAACGAAACACAAAGTTGAACACTTAGCACGATTCAAGACACCAAAGTCCTACATGGATACCTACCACATAGTTCTAGACATACGAAACATTAAGAAGACACTCAAATAGTTCCACGAAAGAACATTGGGAAGTCAAAAGACCAAATACCAAGCCAAAAGAATCACGGGGAACAAATCCCCCTTCAAACTCCACTGTGTTCCCCGCGGGTGGACCCACGGGTAGGCCCCTACCTGTGGTTCCGCCCGCGGGTACACTACCCACAAGCCAATGTACTTGTGGGTGGGCGATGGGTAGGGCTCTCCCCGCCGTTCCGCCCGCGGGTACATACTCCTGTGCAAAATAATCCCTTCGGGGATTTTCTCCTCCAAACACAAATTCAAGTCCAAAACATGCCAAATCTCACCCAATACAACAAAATGACTTGAATCGTGGAAAATGCCAAGCAATGGCACAAAGGAACCCTAAACACAAGCTCTAGATATGCATTTTCACAAGACAAATGCATAAACACTCACATTTCATATCAAAACACAAGTAGAATCCAAGAAATCACATATAGGTAAGCAAAATAGGTTTTGGTAGAGCATGGGTTACCTCTTGTAGACCAAAAAACTTCACTTTACACCACAACAAGCTCCCCACAAGGCTTACTTTCCAAACCCACTTCAAGATTAAACCAAAAGATCATAAAGATCCTACCTTTAAGAAAAAAACAACTAAGATGGAACCAAAAACACAAGATGGACTTAGATCTTACCCTCCTAGATGCCCAAATAGGTGAAAGGTTGAATCTTGGAAGCAAATCTTGGAATCTTGACAAGGGTTTCAACTTAGCGTGGAGAATAAGCTACACTTCTTTCTAGAGAGAAGGTAGAGCTAATTTTTAGGAAATGTAAGGAATGAAATGAAGAAGTCTTCTAGGTTAGGTTACAATACTAACTCTTGGTGGAAAGTCATCAAGAATACCCTTACTAACCTTTAGAAAGTGTAAGGAACAAGGGAACTCCCCTCAAAGCTCAAGGTACAACACAACTTTAAGGTTGACTAGTCAAATGCTAGTCCTTGAGTATTAAAAATCAGGATTTTAGGAATTAATTCCTCAAATGAAATAGGATTAATTATTCAATTAATCCATGATTTGAATGTGGATTTTCGGGGTGTCACAGTCGTTGCGTTCTTCCAGTTTGGAACAAGGTCGACTACCTTCTTCCAGATTTGGAAGAAGGCAGTGGCGGACTGTCTTCTTCAATTCCAGTCTGGAAGAAGGTTGCGGCCTTCTTAACGAACGTGTTCGCAAACGTTAATAAACATATTCACGAACGTGTTCGTTAATGTTAACGAACACGTTCTGAACGTGCTTGCTAACGAACATGTTCGTTAACGTTAACAAACACGTTCGTGAACATGTTTGCGAACGTTAACAAACACTAATGAGCACTCAACAGACGAATACGAACACAAACATTTCAAAAACCTTAACAAACAAACATGAATAACCTTTGTTCATTTATGTTCGATTCATTAACTACTCTACTTACCATAAGACCATCTCTTCCTTCGAGTTAACTATTACAATGCTGCGGTCTTCCTCACGGAACCACTTGGATTTCGTGAGCCTCCGGCTTAGTAGCACTGCCTTGATAATGTGTTTTGTGTCCAGAAATTCTTTTAGGGAAAATATATATATAATAATTTACATAATTGAATTTGGGGTGATGCAAGAATCTCAAAACCACATATGCCAAAACGCACACTGCAAATACAAAGAAAAAATAAATCCAAAACATTTATATAATCAAAGTGTTTAATGATTAATATGGTCATGAAGAAATTCTTTCTTAATTGCGAGGATAGCTTAGTTGGGATAGCGTCAGACTGAAGATTTGAAGGTTATGTGTTCAATCCATGTTCACCGCAAATTTTTATTACTGAGTATATTTTTATAATGTAAAATATACTCCATATTAGTGTTAGTCTTTTGGTATAATAACTAATTAACTGATTTAGCATAATATATATTCGTTGTTGTCTAGCGGTTAAAATATTTGGCTTTCATCAAGGAGACCCCAGTTTGATTCCCAGCAATAGAATTTTTGCCGATTTATTTTCCCCTTTTCAGCCAAAGCACCGGCCCATTTATTTTCCCCTTTTCAGCCAAAGCACCGGCCCATCATCGTCCATTAATTGACTTGCAAAGTTGGAAATTTCAACTGGCCCAAAAGTGTGTTACGAAGGATAAGCAAATTATTGTGTGGACCATGGTCCAAAGTTCCAAACAATGTTATGTGAACCATAACATAAAGTACATTTTTTATATACTAAATGTACATTATTTTTGTATTGAATATACATTATTTTTTTACTGAATGTACATTATTTTACAGTAGACAAAATATGGTCCACGCAACTTGTGTAGACCATGGTCCATACAATAATTAATGTACCTAAAAAGAGTACAAAGGAGGAGAGATAAAATAGGTTAATAACGCTATTAATAAGGGTTAAACCTAAGACCTTCAACATAACACACACAACTCAACCCACTAAGCTACACCAACTTTTTTGTATTAAAACGCGACACCTAATATTTATTCTATATTTTTGGGCTGACAACTTTGACCACTGACCATGACCGGCCATTGGCCGATTGGCGACTCCGCTAGCGGCGTGTCCCGCTGGCCACCTCATGTCATGACGTGGCGGGGGCGGGGTGGTCCGTCCCCGTGCACTTCAACGACGCCCCCTATTCCGCCCCCGTGCACTTCAACTGGCCAGCCCCTCAATTTAGCTTTCTTTTATCCTTACTTGTATTGAGCATTTGATTTAATGAAATTGTAGTTTTCCTTTATAAAGAAATATTATTCTTTATATTTTGATTTTCAAGACTTGCACTGCAAAAAAATCTCTTTCCCTCTTAAATAAAATAATTCCCTCTTTACAAATTTTGACTTTTAATTATTTCGTTATTCACAGTACACTTAAGCGCGAAAGACGAAAACCAAAATAAAATTTCAATCGTGGAAAAAACCTCTGCCTTACTCCAACACAGTGCCGTCCCTAAGAAGAAAACACAATGTCGGACAGTGCCGCCCCTCATCCCTCCTCTGCCGCCATCACTCCAACCTCCGGTTCCGTTTCTCATTTATTCATGTATATTTTCTTTTTATGCTAGTTGCTACTTGCTAGACATGCTCCTTTCTCTTAAACATTTTGTGGTTTTCTTTTTTATGCTTTTAATCCAATGCTCTAGATTTTTTCCAGGTTCAACGGACCGAATTGTACAATTTTGAGAATTGGAAACTTTTGAAATGATTGGATCTGTGAGACGTGAGGTATGCAAGCCCTTTTTTTCACCCTGATCTGTATTTAAGATAACTATGAATTGAACTTCATTATTCATATTTCCTTAATGTGTAATGAGATCTCTATTCTCAAAATTTTATATGGAGAACAATTTCCTTTTATGGGTTTTTAAATTATTGCTTTGTTAGCCAAGATGGGAATGGAATTTGTCTTTTAAACTTTTTGCTTGAAGTTGAGGATTTAATTGATATTGTAATTTCTCTCAGCAAGACTTGGAGAGTTGGAGATCTGTCAATATGTTGGCTGCCAATTCCTTCCAAAAGTTAATAAAAAAACTTTTTGCACTCGTTTGTGTAGATTTTACCTATTTATTACTTCTAACTTTGATATCCACTTCCCAGACTGGTGACATCTGTTTAAATTACCAGTACTGCTCTTCCTTTTCTATCTTTTACCTGTTTATTAGCTGAGAAAGTGCATTCCCACATGCATTTCATAGCAACTGAATTATTTCTGTTATCAAAATGTGTCAGGTAATGCTGCCTTGGAGAGCACTAAAGGGGGTTGAGTTGTGGTAAAGTTCTCAATGGAGGTGACCATCAGAATATCAGATACAAGTACATGCATTTTTTACAATGACATAATTAATCTAAAACAATGGCCACATCAATTTCTCAGCAAATAACCGGTATCTATCTTAGATTGATCACCTGTTTGTGCTTATGCTCTTGGTGAAAGTTATCCTCCTTTTTCATTTCAATCTGGCCAAAGTGGTTATATAAATGAGTTTCTTTCCCCTTGCATGGCAGCTTGTATTTGTCTTTTTGGTCCAGATTCAAATTTACTGGTACTGTGTTTATTTCAGGCACTTAAGAATGGATCATGGGTTCTGCTAGATGAACTCAATCTTGGCCCACAATCTGTCTTGGAGGTTGTTTTCCTCTTTTACTTTTCATCCTTAATATTTATTTATTTATTTGTGTACATTTAAGAAATTATTCTAGGCATGATCTAACTAGTTATGATTTCATAAAATATAGGGACTGAACGCTATCTTGGATCATCGTGCTGAGGTTTTCATCCCAGAATTAGGTCTAACCTTTAAGTGCCAAACCTCCATTCCTCTGGTGATAACCTTGCTGCTCATGGAGAAGCACTGATAGTAGACCCAGGTTGCAACTTGCAAGTCAGCTTTTTATGAAGATGTATCATAGTAAATTGAAGTTCTGTACACTTCTTTTAATGGTTAACAACTTCAGGTCATAGTGGGGATGCTAATGTATCAATTGCTTTACCTTAATTCATTTGATTATGACTTTAATTTGTTTGAATTTATATCCTGGATTCCTGGTAGACTTAAATTAGTAAATGATTGAAATATTCCATGTGCAAATCTACAAACCTTTTTTGTTTTTTGAGTAAATGTATTGTCAAAGAATAAAATTAGACCTAACCAAATTAGTTCTCAGTATTTCAATAATATTGCCCAGAGCTCTGAGTAATCAATATGAAAAGTCTTCATTTGGTAAAACTAAATTAGATTAAATGTGAGATGATAGCATGTATGGAGTATTTTATAAGACCACAAAATGATAATAGTCATCTTTTCGGACAGAAGTTATCCTAATGTTTAGAGTTAACTATAGAATTACCTATGTGTATCTATAATAAGGCAGGGCATGGACATTTGAGGATAAGCTGATATGTCTAGGTGACAGATATTAGTAATCAAACTACTAACTAAAGGAATTCCTTCAGGTTTTAGATTGTTTAGTTGTTATTAGTGCTTTTCTTCTCCAGTTCCCCTATATTTGTTTCCACCTTCTAGAGAACCTGCAACTATAGTTTGAATTTGGTAATTTTATTGTTGTGAAACATTATGAAAATCTCTCAAAATACTGTAGGAATGAGGAATAAAGTAAAGTAGATCAGATTTACTTTCTGTTTTATAACCATTAATGACAGAATTTATATCAAAAACTTAGAGGATGAGGTTATATCATTCTTCGATTTGAAAGAGGAGAAATTTGGAGAAGTGGATTTTCCAGAATTGGGTTGAGAAGAGATTAACACTAGCTACCAACAGAATTGGGTTCTAGAATTGTGATGCATGCATGATTACAAACTAACTAGCTACTAGCTAGGTTTAATGTTAGTTAGTTGTACTATGTTTTCATGATATATATATTAGATGTTGCATGCATGTTAACCTGTGCTGCTCTCAATGATTATTGTTTGTTATTTTTTATAATAATATTTTGCATGTTTTTTAAGTATATGTTAATCTTTTTGTTGTTGTCATGGTCTTGTCAAAAATCATATAATTATTTTGCAAATTTATTATATCTATACTAATTTATTTACTCACTATTTACATGTAGTTCCAACAAGTTGATTATGACAAAGCGATTATTGATCTGGTGCGTTCAGAATGGGCCGATATTCTATCAAGTTATATAGAGTAGGTATGATTTGACGTTGTGATCATTTAGACTTGGTTCGTGGATCGGAATTATTTTTTGTAGTATTATGACTTGGATGATGATTTGATTAGAATTGTTCATGCTCAGTATTTAGACTTGTTATTTTGAACCTTGCTTAGCTTGTGCAATGTAATTACACTTGGTGAATGTATAAATTATTTTTTTTATATGATTAAAATTTAAGCAGATTAAAAACGGGTTGAGACAACGGTTAAAAGTTGTCTATATTACAATAGACAACAGTTTGAAACTGTTGTCTTTTTTACAAAAGACAACAGTTTATGGGTGTGACTTTTAACAACAGCGATTTCAACAACACACAATAGACAATAGTTTATAACTGTTGTCTTTTAAAGAAAAGACAACAGTTAAAAAATGTTGTCTATGTGCATCACTTTTAACAACACCGGTTTCAACAACATTGAATTGACAACAGGTCAAAAACCGTTGTCTTTGGAAGAAATGACAACGGTTTAAAACCGTTGTCTATGTTCGTGACTTTTAACAACACCAGTTTCAACAACACTTAATAGACAACGGTTAAAACACCGTTGTCGTTTATAGAAAAGACAACGGTTAAAAACCGTTGTCTATGTGCGTGACTTTTAACAACACCGGTTTCAACAACACTTAATAGACAACGGTTAAAAAACCGTTGTCGTTTCTAGAAAAGACAACGGTTATTAACCGTTGTCTATGTGCGTGACTTTTAGCAACACCGGTTTCAACAACACTTAATAGACAACAATTAAAAAACCGTTGTCGTTTCTAGAAAAGACAACGGTTATTAACCGTTGTCTATGTGCGTGACTTACAACAACCCCAGCTTCAACAACACTTAATAGACAACGGTTAAAAAACCGTTGTTGTTTCTAGAAAAGACAACGGTTATTAACCGTTGTCTATGTGAGTGACTTACAACAACACCGGCTTCAACAACACTTAATAGACAACGGTTAAAAAACCGTTGTTGTTTCTAGAAAAGACAACGGTTAAAAAACCGTTGTTTATGCGCGGGACTTACAACAACACCGGCTTCAACAACTGAAATTATACCCCTACGACAACGGTTATTAACCGTTGTCTATGTGCATTTTTCTTGTAGTGACATGATATTTGTAAAATCATATATTGTATTGATTGCCTCATTAAAAAGCTTAACTTAAAAAAACCCTGTGAGAAATACTTAGTTAAGGGAAAAAGAGTACAACCATAAGCCGTCCGGGCACAAACTGCATAATCTTCAGGATTTTGGGATTTGTCCATTGAAGCAATTATTTTGCAACATTTCCCCATTTACATCATTATATTATACTCATGCCTCGTTAAAAACCACACTAGAAAAACCCAATGGGAGAAAACTAGTGAGGAAAAGAGTACATGATATTTATGTATTTATGTGTTGCAAATAGTGCGCAACTGTTAGTCTTTTATGACTTAATCTTCAGGATTTTACGTCCAATCTTCCGGATTGATTCGAGTAAATGTACTTACCGTCTCCCCTGAAGATAACAATCTTCAAGTTCTACATATATTTCAAAATTTGAATAAATAGATTGGACAAATCTTCTGGATCGTCACTAGAGTAAATATCTTGTATATTAATCTTATGGCTCTTCTAGAGCACATATAACATTTTTGCAACACAAGTGTTATTGTTCTCATTTTGAACATTTAGGGAAATTCATTGTATAACCAGTTTGGACTTGGCATTGCGGGGATCAAACAAAATAGCTAGTACCCAAGTAGCCTATTAAAACCGTATCATAGTTTCTTACATAAATGTCATGTCTTTTGTATCTCGAAGATACCGGAGGATATGTTAATCATTATTCAAGTACTTCATTTGTAGGAGGAGCACTAAGATTTTGCTAGCAATTTCATCGCAAATATCATGCCTATTGTGATTATTGAAGTTCTGGTTCTAAAATGGTGCTCCAACTATAATGAACTAAGGGACTTTGAGTCCAAACGATTCCTTATCTGCTTCAAGAGATTATTAGGCAACCTTTAGTTTGATAAAACATGACACTTATGCATATAGACATGTGAAAAAGCATTTTTAGATGTAGGTTGCATGACTGGTGTATAAAAAAAATTCTCCAAGGAAAAACTCGATCTTCATGTCGAGATTATACTTAGATTTCCCAATTTTTTGTTTCAAAATCTCCGTCTTTAGACATGAACTGATATCATCAAGCTCTTTGGATATTTCATTGATGCTTATACCATCAATTTGACTGAGATAATAAATAAGTTCATTATTAACTCTTTATTGAGCACATAAGGGTACATATTATTCCTTCTATATGAGGATAATAACCTCATTCGCAACTCTTTAAAGAGAAAATAATGGCACATAATAATACTAAATAAATTCTCATTTCAGGAATTATAAATCCATCAGGATTTCTTAAAATAAATATTAACTGCATATCTAAATTTATTATTCTGCCAATTGTATTATGTAGCGGAACTTAATGCCATTTACCGTGGGAGAGTATATTTGGGAAGGGTCTCTATGTGAACCCATAAGCTACAAACTCAGCTCGCTTCATAATATATCCATTTTAGCGAGTCGAGCTATGCCTTAATTGCTCCTTTATATATTAAATAGTCATGACACTTCCGATGCCTAACTCTGGATCCAGATTATCATATAATGAGCAATTTGTAATGGCAATTGTATTGTCGACAACTATAACCTTTTATAAATGTCTCCCATATTTGTAAAAGTTAATGGCAATTTCTAAAACAACCAGATTCTAGACATTTCCCAAAGATATTTTGATTCGGTCGTTTCGCATCCCTAGTATTACGTTTGTTTGGTGCACCTATAAATTTTACTAAGGTTTTTCGTCATCTAGACGAGCGTCTGCAGGACATAATTGTTCAATGCTATTTCAAGAGTGACAATGCTTCTTTACTAGATCTAGTATGATTCATATTTCTTTCACTGGTAGATCTCCTACACTTCTAGTGTCAAGGAGTATCGGTAGATATGTTTGGTCCCAAGTTTGGGGAAGGCATATGGGCCCTAATCACTCTTTTATGATCATTATGATCAATAGGTATGTTTTCGCAGATTATTTTCTAAAATCGCAAATAGATTATCTTTTGAACTTCTAGTTCACTCTAACTAGTACATGGATTTAAATAATGAAGATGTTTTCGTTCTATGAAATTTCTTGGCATTCTATTAAAAGTTAGTATATTATCTCTCCCTAATGCCGAGAAAACAATCTTCATTAGGAATGCAGTCAACGTACCCAATTATATGTATTGATCGCCTATCATGGGCTTTCGATATTTAATCGATAGACGAAGGTTTCTTTGATAGTCCTTTTAGAGGTACATTGTGGTGGTGAAATATAAAAATAGACTGCACACTAAAATTAAAGTAGATAGAAAAATGTTTATTTTGAAACCACGTATACTAGGATAACAATTCTTGAGGGATTGATTTGTGATATGCAATGAGTCAAATTTGAACTCAAAATATGATTTTCAATATCATATATAATGAAGATTATTATGGCAATAAAAAATACAATATCTAATTGCCGTTGCCACGATGCTACGTGACCCAAGCCAATCATCGGACAATAACCATATAGGTATTAGTCACCCAAGGTAATCACTATACATTTTTTAATAGTCGATAAAGACATATTCAGGAAAAAATGGTCACATGCACATAGTAATTATATCATATATCAAATAAATATATGCAGGTAGAGATATTTACTTTGAAAGTAAGAATACTTAGCTCTCCAAGAAGGTTGTTTGACAAACTTCTAATATGTAGCCATTGTTTCTTGCGTTTTAGCATGTAGAATAGTTGACGGCAATATCCATGCTCCAAAACAGATTTCATAAATTATGGCATAAATCATA